ATTACAACAGGTTTATAAATACTTTATTACAACAGGTTTATAAATACTTTATTACAACAGGTTTATAAATACTTTATTACAACAGATTTATAAACACTTTATTACAACAGGTTTATAAACAATTTATTACAACAGGTTTATAAACACTTTATTACAACAGGTTTATAAACACATTATTACAACAGGTTTATAAACACTTTATTACAACAGGTTTACAAATACTTTATTACAACAGGTTTATAAACACGTCATTGCAACTGGTTTATAAACACTTTATTACAACAGGTTTACAAATACTTAATTACAACAGGTTTATAAACACGTCATTGCAACAAGTTTATAAACACTTTATTACAACAGGTTTACAAATACTTTATTACAACAGGTTTATAAACTCTTCATTACAACAGGTTTATAAACAATGTTTAGTACAACAGGTTTATAAACACTATTACAACAGGTTTATAAACACTTTATTACAACAGGTTTATAAACACTATTACAACAGGTTTATAAACACATTATTACAACAGGTTTATAAACAATTTTATTACAACAGGTTTATAAACACTTTATTACAACAGGTTGACAAACACTTTATTACAACAGGTTTATAAACACTTTATTACAACAGGTTTATAAACACTGTATTACAACAGGTTTATAAACACTGTATTACAACAGGTTTATAAACAATGTTTATTACAAGACATTTATAAATAGTTTTGTTACAATAGGTTTATAAATACTTTATTACAACAGGTTTATTAACAATGTTTATTACAAGAAAATTTATAAACAGTTTTGTTACAATAGGTTAAAAACACTTTATTACCACAGGTTTATAAACAATGTTTATTACAAGACATTTATAAACAGTTTTGTTACAATAGGTTAAAAACACTTTATTACCACAGGTTTATAAACAATGTTTATTACAAGACATTTATAAACAGTTTTATTACAAAAGGTTTATAAATACTTTATTACAACAGGTTTATAAACAATGTTTATTACAAGAAAATTTATAAACAGTTTTGTTACAATAGGTTTATAAACACTTTATTACAACAGGTTTATAAACAATGTTTATTACAAGACATTTATAAACAGTTTTATTACAATAGGTTTATAAACACTATTACAACAGATTTATAAACAATATTTACAGATTTATAAATGATGTTCATTACAACAGGTTTATAAACAATGTTTCTTACAAGCGACTTATAAACAGTGTTTATTATAACAGGTTTATAAACACTTTATTACAAAAGGTTTATAAACAATGTTTTTTAAAAAAAAGATTTATAAACACTTTATTACAATAGGTTTATAAACACTTTATTACAACAGATTTATAAACAATGTTTATTACAACAGATTTAAAAACAATATTTATTAAAACAGGTTATTGTTTGATTATTGTTTTGATTGATGGTCAGCGTTAGGATATACGTTACCAGAAAATGAAGTCAATCCACGGCCCCACAGGGATATAAAAACAGACCTGTGTGTGTGATGTGAAGTGGTTGGAGTGTGACTGGGTGAATTCAGAGAAACAGGACCGAGGCTGGCTCCTTGTTGTCAGTCAGTCAGGATTAAAACAGGTCAGTTCACTCTGAAGTTTGAAGGTTCATCAGCTACAGGGTGGAATTTGTCTTCATCTGATGAATGCTAACGTTAATGAAGCTCATTTTTTATCCCTCCCCTCAGGTTACTGCAGGTACATGTCTGTTTGTTTGTCTGAGTCTCTTTGGACCGCATTTCTGGCAGACTTTCTTGTTTTGTGCCGTGCACCTGCATACCATGAAGCAGTGATGGTGTGTGTGTGTGTGTGTGTGTGTGTGTGTGTGTGTGTGTGTGTGTGT